AGCAACCCACGTTCAGACACAGATATTATAAGACATTCTGGGCAAAGAGTCCTCCATCCTGAATCACACTTTTACCTATGAGCTCACAAAATCTCTTTTGTCAACAGGTAGAGCACAAGAAAATACCCAGCTTTCCTTGTATATTTACCTTAACAACAGGGTAAGTCCATGTTACACAAGCATGGGAAAGGAAATCTCTTTGTAGATAAATGTTCAAAAGATACCTTTGGATTAGATGGTATTTCATGCACTCTGGAGACTTATAACTCTGCATTTAATAAACTAAAAATGAACAAATTAAATACAAAGCAATCATTTACAACTGCAGCTAAATCTTCAAATGCCTCATCAGTAGATACAGTTAAATTAGTACTCTGTCTCCCAATTACAATTAAAACCAGCACATTTCCATATTTAATCTTCAATAATTTCTTAAAAATTACAGGGAAAGAAGCTTGCCCAAGAAGCTGAAAACTATCAAATGTCAACAAATAAAGATGCTAGCTATATCAAAGAAATCACACGCATACATATAGCTTGTGTCAGTTTATTCTGCTAGTATTCTTCCAGTAACCAACAGGAAACCCTTTGACCAGCCCAAACACAGCCTCACAAGATTTCCTCCTCTTTGCTAAATGACTGCAGTTATTGTATTGAAGAATGACAAGGCATCTGCCTGGTATTCCTGAAGAGTGTGCCTATCTTTCATTGAACAAAATATTGAATACCACAATCAATGATGAGAGGAAAATAAGTGGCCTCACCAGTTTCCAGAAGCAGCTCTTCTCAAGCAGTTCAAATATTTCTGTCTTCAAAGATAAAACCAGTAAAAAGATAAAGCTGCAGACTAGACCACATTGCAAAAAAGTACGTTTTAACAGCCCCAGGAATTTTAGTCAATGTGCCGACAGCAGTTTACTTGGACTGTAGTATGTAACAAGTGTAAGCCATTTACTGCAAGAGGAAAAGTCCAATACTTAAATCCCTCAAACCAGAGGAAGTTTTACCATGCCACTGAAAACACATATTTCATAAAAAATATCACAAAATTTGATTTAAAGTTACCTGTAAACTGTGCCCTCCATAATCCAAACTCAAATGGCTTGCAAGATTGCCTACTTCTGTTTGCTTTGTTCAGTCAGAAAAAAA